GTGATTGAGATCTTTATTACTATTCTGCAGCCTAATCATTCCCCCCAAAACCCCAAAACCCCACTGGAGATAGTTTATAATAAATAGCAAGAATCGTAAAATTAGCAATAAAATTATTAGATTATTATGTCCTAAAATTCGACTTACAAACAAACCAAGGCGGACAAGAAGAAATAAGAGGAAGATAAAAAAAGAAAGGAGTATTAAGAAAGAATGGCAAGACTTGAGGAGCTATAAAAAGATAATTTAGCTTCAATGTATCCTGCATACTTTGAGTAGTAGCAGTTTTAGCAGCAATCACAATCACAATTACAATCCAATGTAATTCAGCAAAATTTGCCAGAAATTACTGGAGAATAGCCAAACCAAGAAGCTCAAGAGTAAATCCAAACATATTTAAACCAGGATGAAGCTATTGATCTTTAATAAAAGAACGATTCAGATTCTGACTATGTGGATTAGAATGGCTGTGAAGAAGGCGAAGGCAGAAATGATTAAGAATTCTAATAGCAATATAAACTCTTTAAGCAGTTCAAGAACTTAGAGACTCGGGAATTTATGAATAGGCCAGCACGTAGACAAGTACAAGAGTCTAAAAAGGAAACTGCATATATTGAAGGTAATTATGACTACAACATATGGTATGATAAGTACTTGACTGATAGAAATCAATAGGTGGAGAAAGCTCCCTCATTGTATAAATGCAAGCCTCTTATTGATACTGGCTATACAAAAGCTGATAAATTTGAAAAGAAGGGTTCAACCTATTTCTGTGTTTACTTTGCCAGAGGATGTTGTACAGAAGGAGTTAACTGTAGGTTCTATCATAGAACTCCATAGGATGAGGATTTAGACAAGGCTAATGAGGATAATTTAAGAGATGTATTTGGCAGAGCTAGACATGCTACGCATAAAGAGGATCATAGTGGTATTGGTTCATTTAATAAGGAATGCAGAACTTTAATGATAACTGATATCTAATTACCTTAGGATTCTTTAACTCCCTAGAGGGATATGGTTGTAAACATATACGAGCAATTTAACCCCTGGGGAGAGATTGAAGACATTCATTTCAGCACTCAAAAATGTGTCGCTTACATAAAGTATAGGCATAGATACTTCGCAGAATTTGCCAGAGAGGCAATGTTTGATTAAGTTTTAGCAGAAGGTTCAAATGAACCAATCACTATCAAGTGGGCACTTGATAGTCCATTTGACAAGTCTGAAGCTATCAGAGCCTAATAAGAAGTTAAGGAGGCTCAATTAAAAGGTTTGAATTTAGCGCCAATTACAGGCAAAAACAAGAAAAAGACACAATACCTTAAAACCAATTATGAAGATGATTAAGATGGGCACAATAATCTGACTATAGCTCAGAAGTTAGCTTTAAAGCCTTCTGATTTGGTACCTTAACTCGCTAATCCAGCTCTAAGAAAGAGGGAAATGAAAATAATGCAAAAGGATAGAATACGAGAACTTGAGCATGAAAAGAATATGTATGAGGTGTCTGAAGGATTTGAAGCCAATCTTTATTAAGGAGATGATAGAAAGCCAAGTGTGAATCATGGATTCATAAAAGATACTCAGAAAATTATGGAGAACTGCAACAAAATGGCTTCTATACTCTAGCAGATTGAAAGTAATAAAAACTAAGTATGATTCAATTAGCAAGTTTTATCTAAGATTTCAGCGATTGGCTATTAGATTTCTTTTACTAATAGTTTTGAAAATTAATTTACTTTCAT